TGTAAACCGCTTAGAGAGGCCTGAAAGGCCTATGAAGCGGTATATAAGTCTACTGCTATTGCTATTGCTATATAGTCTTTTGCTTCATGATGCAGGGCAGCTTTGAATTGAAGCTGTTACAGAGTAGGTACTGGCAAAAAGAACTTACCTGGAAATAAAGCATAAACTTTCCAGTGGCAAGTGAACAAATTGCCAAGAGGGCTGGAACATTTTGTTCCATTTTGATTAATATAAAAATGCAAGTATGTGCTGCAGGAAGCAGTTCTCTGCTATATCTCTGCCACTTTTCTTCAGATCAATAAATGGCTTTGTACTAGAAGGGTGATATGATATGGTTACCTCTAAAGCCAGTTTCTTGATCTCCCCTGCTGCTCCATTTCAGTAACATTGATTAATTGGAAATTGTTAAGACCACCCTACTAAAGAATAGCTCTCAATTTATATTTCACCAAAAGAGGATAGCACCAATTTATTTAAATCGAGGAACTATAGTTTCCTACTCACGACTTTTATTTTTCTCTAGTTATCGATACTGCAAGAATAAGCCTTATCCTAAGTCCCGCTTCTGCAGAGGTGTTCCTGGTAAGTAGAACGTTAACATTTCTTCGATTTAAATAGTACTTAAAAATCTATGTAATAATAATGCATATCTGTAATTTTGGAGAGCCATGTAATATTGATTCTGATCCTTTTCTGGCTAAAAGGACCCAGTTGCCTCATCAAAATATTGGTTCCTACTTTAGTCAGTAATTTCACAATTGATAATATCAGAAATCGATGCTCATTTATTTCAATATGACCTCATATAAGAATGCTTATTCCCCCCCCTTTTTTTTTTTCAGATCCCAAGATCAGGATATTTGATCTGGGCAGGAAAAAGGCCAAGGTTGATGAGTTCCCACTCTGTGGGCACATGGTGTCAGATGAATATGAGCAATTGTCATCAGAAGGTAAGTAGAAGATAGTACAGCCTATTTGCTTGAATGCTACTGGTTTGTAATCTGCCATATTTATACCGTGTGTTGTTTTTTTAGCTCTAGAAGCTGCTCGTATCTGTGCCAACAAATACATGGTGAAGAGTTGTGGCAAGGACGGTTTTCACATCCGTGTGCGCCTGCACCCCTTCCATGTCATTCGCATCAACAAAATGTTATCATGTGCTGGAGCTGACAGGTGAAGAATGGGTTACAGAACCAGTTTTGGAGTGTCTGGCATGTGTGAAAGCATGAGAATGAAGTTGCAGTCAATTAAGCCGACCAACCACTGTTGCTATCAGCGGCTGGTGTGCACTGTCTGCACACAACAATTCCCTTGGTTGTGTACGTGCTCTTTTGGTTGTACAGAGCACCTTAAGGGACCTTGGGAACATATATTAGTCACAAGTAGAATGAGCGGTTGGCTTCAGTGTTGAGAAATCACACTAAAAAAAGCTTGATTGGTAGTTTGTTGAGGTCACCAGCATCAGTGCAATGTACAAATTGTAAATTATGCTTTGGCTTCTTATTAGGCTCCAGACTGGAATGCGTGGTGCTTTTGGCAAGCCTCAGGGCACTGTGGCCCGTGTCCACATTGGCCAAGTCATCATGTCCATCCGCACCAAGGTGCAAAACAAGGAGCATGTTATTGAAGCGCTGCGCAGAGCCAAATTCAAATTTCCCGGACGTCAGAAGGTAGGTTTTGTAAATAAGTTAAAATATCTCAGTTTGCTTGGGAGATCATGTCACTGCGTTGCAAATCTGATTTGTTACATTTATGTCTCCATAATCCAATAATCCAAATAGATCTGTCAGTTCCATAAGGGTTCCTTTTTATTCTTTGCAAACCCATTTGAGTGTTGGAAATAAATCACCTACTGGACTTGGGCTTATTTGTTGGCAGGATACTTCTGAATAGTGAATACAATTGGAATAAATGGGAGTGCAGAAATAGGGGGAGAAACGTAGTAACATTGCCTAAGTCTGGCTGGGGAGTGCAGAGAAAAGTAATGTTCCCAGTGCATCTATATGGGAGGATGGTAATGTTTCTCAATCTGAGCAAAATTAAGATGTGTGGACTTCCAACTCCCAGAGTTCCCCAGCCAGCAGAGGCTTAGATTGCTGACAATTTGGTGCATTGTGTAAACCGCTTAGAGAGGGCTACAAAGCACTGAAGCGGTATCTAAGTCTAAATGCTATTCATATCCCTCTTTTCTCCCCTCTTCTGCTCACATGATCCAGAGCTGGCTGTTTCCCAGTACACAAATACACTGTAGCATTCAGATGAAGCATGTGGGAAACACACATATACCTTGTTTCCCTGAAAATAAGACAGGGTCTTATATTTTTTTGATGGAATATGGCCTTGGGCTTATTAGAGGAGGAGGGATTATTATTTTTCAGGTGCAGGGAAGCAGCAAGCCCACCAGCCCCACCCTCATTCCCACAATGACCCAAGTTCTCCTTGCATCCTGGCCTTCGCCTACTCTGCTTGCTGGCCGCGGAACAGCTGACTGTGCTGCTCTGGCCTGGGAGGGAGCTCTTCCTGACAGAACGAACGAACACACACACACACACCCTCCAGGGTAGCCACATCCCTTCACTAACTTGCTTTCCAGCTCCATTCTCCGCTCCACATGCAGGACAAGAAAAGTAGACTGTGTGTCTATGGTAAAAAAAATACCACAAAATACCTTCCAAGTTCTCACAAAAACAAAAAAGATCTCGTGAAGTTGGAAGTAGTCCCAGAAACTACTTTTCTTGCCCTGCACATGGCAGTGGGGAATAGAGCAGGAAAGCAGGTTAGTGGAGGGATGTGGCTACCTTGGGAGGGGGGATAGGGATCTCTTTCTCACACACACATACACACCATCCTTTCCTTGGGAGCTCTGCACAGACGCAGAGGCAGCTTTGGACAGAGCATTTGGGGGGGGGGTGTCTGCGCTGAGATCCCAAGGAAAGAACGATTGCCAGGAAAAGGGGGGATTTTGCCTCTTATCCTGTTCTGAGCCTGTGCTGAGCTTCAGAACAGGGTAAGAGGGAGGAAAATTTCCCCTCCCCATTTTCAAACCATTTGCAAAAATGCCTCATTCCAAGCCTTCAATCCTGGAATATGCTGAAGGCTCGGAAGGTTTTTGCAAACCGTTTGAAAATATGGAGGGGGATATTCCTGCCTCTGCCCCTGTTCTGAAGGTCACAGACTGAAAACAGGATAAGAGACCAAATCCTCCCTCCCACATGCCTTCAATCCTGGATAATGTGAAGGCTTGAGATGTGGCGTTTTTCAAACCTCTTGGAAATGGGGAGGGGGAATTTTGCCTCTTATCCTGTTCTGAGCCTGTGCTGACCTTCAGAACAGGGAGAGAGGCAGGAATATCTCCCTCCCCATTTTCAAGCCATTTGCAAAAACGCCCCATTTCGAGCCTTCAATGTGAATATGCAGGTGAGAAGCAACCTCCTGTAGGCATTAAAATCCATTCACTTGGGACATCGGAAGAAGCCATGCGAGGAGACGCTGCTGCTGAAGTGCAGGAAANAGACTAAATGAGGCACGTGGTTCTCCCGCCTCCTCCTGTAGAGGGCACTTTTTTAGAGGCTTTTTTAAACAGTTAAGCACTAAGCAGAGTCATCCATTGGGGACTCTGGCAGCAACTACCTCAGCCTTTTTCCTTTTACATTTTTTCTTCTTTTCATGATGACAGTGGTGAGGCTCTGCCTCCCCTGACTGCACGTCACTGATGCCCTCTGTTTTGTATGACAGAACGTTATGTGGAAAAGCTTCTGCATAAAGTATGCAAATACGGGTAAATATATTCTAAATTCTTTGTGATGGCACTCAAGGTATAAAAATGCTTGTCAATAACAGCTACAATTTCCCCCTCCGCCCCCACTTATTTCTAGGTTTTCAAAACCAAAGCACAGAGAAATTAATTAGGGATTATTATTAACCAGATCATTGCTTCCAATATGAAAAATAAAATAGGATACTGTTCAGATGTTTTACAGCAACATATCATTTAAAAGAGCAGGGAGTTCTCAATGACTTTGAGCAGCTGTGTGCAAAAATAGCCTGAATCCATTTCATCTATCTCTAATAAATCAGCAAGGCCTTCTCTACAACTATCCAGGGTTTAACAATAACAAATGGCTTTTTTTCATTTAAATTAAATTAAATGAAGAAAATGAAGAAATCTTAGGTTTAGGTTTATTCGATTTATATGCCGCCCTTCTCCCAAGGACTCAGGGCGGCGTACAACATTAAAAGAAACACATAATACAAAAGGTAAAAAGAAATCTTGGGTAAGTTGCAGTTAAATTCTGTTCTCAAACAGAATTCTAGTTCCAGAACCTGTTCTCAAGAAGCACCTCCTTTATTTAAAGACCTTTTTTTTCCCACCTGGGGAAAAAAAAATCTGAATCCGTTTTTTTGCAAACCAACCAACTTGAAGTGCACACGTTGTCTTCGCCATCCAATTTTGCAAAATAACTCAGATTTATTCCACTTGTCCAATCAAAGAGCAATTAATTCCATCCACTCCATCTAAATCGCCTCTTTGGGAAATGCCCCTAACAAGACCTCCGACCAATGCAAAAGCCTCTTTCTCCGTTTGCACCGCCTATCAGGCTCACCCCAACCAATCAGAAAAGTCGCAGCCGGTTTTCCCCCCATTTCCCCCTTGAACAAACCGAAGGGTCCTTATTTCATTTCGCATCCCGTAAACTCGAGGTTAAAACCGTCTTTAATAAACCTCTCACCGATCGAGGTACCAGCAGAGTCGGCCTCCAAAGCTGCCTAGTTGTGGTCAAAACCACCGAAACTGCCATCCTTCAGTCTCCTTCGGAGAGACCAGCACGGAGTGTATAAGACGAGGCAGGCACCGCGAGATTTAAGATAAAATCCCGCGCGAGTGATCGCGCGAACCTTATCCTCCATATGTGTGTGAGGGGGGGGGGAAGACTCTATGGTCTTTGCGACCATAGAGCTAGAAATATTTCCCCTTATATTCTTATTCAATTGCGAATTGACTTTTTCATTCCTATTACAGTATTCTGGAATATGGCCGTTGACGTTATATGGTTATTATTGGAAACCGCTTGGAATCATTTGAATATGGCGAGATAAAACTGCGGTAGTACAATGTGTTTCTCACTTCCAATAGGATGCAAAATTATTACTGTTGCGCTGGTTTTATGCAAACATGCATAGAAGTTACGTCTTTTTGTAGTTAAGTGAAGAGATGAGTTAATCACGGCTGTAAAAGCCTCAACAGCTTGAATTGTTGCTGCAAAATTCCAATAAAATTGTTTGCACCCAAATTATTTTTAAAAGCCAATTACACAATCTTGAAATCCCGTATTAAAGGACTTAACCCTTTTTGTATCTTCCTATTATAGGCACTGAAAAAATAACTTCAAACGAGACTTTTAGGAACTACCATTCATTCGAACGTTGTGGGAGAAATAGAATGCCTCCTCGAGCGGCGTCCTGCACTCAGCACTCAATTCAATCTTATTGAAATATTCTGATATTTTAAACCTGTGGTCTCCGACCTTGGCAACTTTAAGAACTTGAGGACTTCAACTCCCAGAGTTCCTCAGTCAGCATACTGGCTGAGGAACTCTGGGAGTTGAAGTCCACAGGTCTTAAAGTTGCCAAGGTTGGAGACCACTGTTTTAAAACGAACTCATTCCTGATGTCTAACGCTCATATTATCAACGTTCAAAATCATGGAATAAAACAACATAAATCTTCCGACTGTATCAAAGGAAACGCCTATTGTGTTGTCACCTTCATAATTCCTCCCCCCCCCTCCTCCCGCTTCCCAACAACATAACGCACAACCCCATTTGAGAAGCATTCGCAACTCTATCCCATTTCTCTATGGTGGTGCCCTCTATGGAATCCAGCAATAGGATCCCGTGGGCACTTGTCTATGGTCCTGGGAACATCCTAGAGCGGTGACCTTTATAAGTGGTGCGCAGGCGCGGCCCCACTTTCTTTCCGCTCGGCGAGGTATGTACGCGTGTGATGGCGGTAACGCGGTTGAGGGAAGGGTGAAACTGACTAGGCCCCAGACCGGGTCTCGCTTTGAGCGCCGGGACTGAAATACTTGTACCTCTTTCTCTTTCAGAGCCGCAGTCATGGGCCGCCGACCAGCACGTTGGTGAGTTGGGGAAGCCGGGATCACCCCCGGGATCGAGCAAAGGGAGAGCGTGGCTGGCTTTTTCCTTTTGGAAGAGGCGATGTGCTTCTTCCTGAGGGAGGGAAAAGTGTCACCCTTTTTTTTTTTTAAATTAGGGTGTTTTCATTAAAAAAAAAAAAGATCTCTAAATCAAGAAAGAAAAGTTATATATTTTATCATTAAACATGTTTTTATCTAGAATCATTTATATTAGAAGACACGACTTTTCTTTCTTGATTTAAAATGTACAACATGATTTGAATGAAGTATATGTTAAGGACTGTGGAAGAAACGCACGGAATATATTTGTAACCAATCGATACGCTTTCAACAAGATGTAACGAAAGATGATTCTTTTTTTTTATTTTTTTTTTTGGTTTAACTAAAACAATTAAAAAATCCTCCCCCCCCCCCCCAAAAAAAGAAAGCACCCATTTGAAAAATGGACAA